TGTGTGTGACTGTGAAAGCAGGTTATAAATGAGAAAGAGTACTGTGGACCAAGCAGGTAGCCTATGCAAATATATGTAAGATGTAAGCCAGCCAGGTTTGTCTATGGAAGATGAAGGAGTTCAGAAACTTGTGGACGGGGGATTTGTGGGGATTTAGAGCAGTAGAAAGATCAGTGCCAGATCTTCACAGGCACAAAGAGTTCAGTACTACTGTGTAGTAAGACTTTTTGGTTTGACATGTATTGACTTGCAAGACATAAGGTCAACAGAAACCCTTCCATGGTATTGTGATATATTTAGGTGTACGTGGAAAGAGGATACACAAGTCTTCATCAAACCTACAGCTTTCCTTATCAAGTATTTTTAAACGAACATTGATAAAAGAAAAATAAGATATGAAGCCTTCACTCAGATATGAGACCTATTATTTTTGACTACTGCTTTGTTTACCATTTGTATCAAGTCTAGATTGAATTTTTTCTTTGTGTGTGCGTGTAATTTTATGACACGATGCAGGAGTTGGCTCTGTAGAAACTGCTAGTCCATGATGGAAAAAGTTACAGAGACTAATCTTAAGAAGTCCATATCAAATTTCAACAGATGTTTGTATTCATTATGCATTGGAATGAATTTTATTATTTTGAAAGAATTTAGTATTTAAAAGGTAGACAGAGTTCTAGATCCTGCTCTTTTTATTATTTAGTTTTGTGATATTAGGGAAATCACTGAATGCTATTAACCTAAAATTTACTTGTCTGTAAACTGGATCTGTAAATGTCGACCTTCCTGAACAACCTAATAAAATTTTGTAGATGAAGTAAGAAATATACAATGCATAACTGCTGGTAAGAATTACAACTCTACTGTGCTATTTTAAAATTATAATTGCTTTACAAGTTTGGATGATGGTCATCTAAGTAATACACAAATAAAATGGCTAGTAGGCAATATCAGCATCTAAAGATAAGAACATATTAGAAATAAATAGCGTCCTTGTAATCATTTAATCAAAGTCCTTTACACTATGCATACATCCAGGATACTCAGGTTATCAGGAAAAGTAAGTAACCTTTAGAAGGTTGCCAGCCAGAAAACCGCAAAGGTTTGATGAATGAAGTCAGCATCCCTTAGGAATTAAAAATATTATTGACTCCAAATGAATAGTTTAATATTTCTCTGTTAAGTAAATCACTATTGTCTTCTGTCCTTTTCAATAATGAGATCCATCCCTTCCTTCCTCTCAGAGGAGGACAATCAGTATGGTAATATTTTAGCAGAGTTCTTGCTTCCAAACATAAAAACTCTGGATCACCAACTAAAGAGTTCAGGAACATTTCAAGTGATACCACATTGTTTTATAAGAAAAGAACATTGAAAAGTAAAGGCATTCAGTCAAGGAAAACTGGGATCCAATAGAGAAAGCAAATGTAATTAGAGAAGTAAAGAAAATGTCATGCGCAATTTAGAAAACAGTTACTCATTAGAACAAAAATATGGAGAGCAAGAGAGGTTGTTCAAATGCAAACTTGTTTTCTCCCACGTTTGGACCTTGGACAATCAGTATTGGAGTGTTTCATTTACTTTTTACCACTAAAAATAACAATCTGGTTCAGAGGTGGGAAGCGACTGGAACGGGGGTTGCTGTGGACAGTCAGAGATAAACCGGTTCAACAATGGGAACAGTGTCAGAACTGCTCCAGATGATATGCGCATTGCTTGCTTCACTTCTGCTTTTGGCCAATGCCACAGAAAGTATATAACAAATATTCTCCTGCTGAATAACATCAGCATGATCTTTATTTCTAGTATTACTTATTAGTTGGGCTTATTGAAAGGCTTCAGATAACACAAGGTATAGTGCATCTCATCCCTTGAATATCCTTGTGAATACAATTAACATCCTCCAATATCTTAGATGAATTTCTGCAGATAATGGAAATGCTAGAATAAAGAAATTTTTATTCTCAGCTCAAGGCGATATTCTTACGAACATAGTATGCAGCAAGAAAATGAGATGAACGAGTCCAGGAAGGTTGAGTAACTCAATGGTGTGGTGGGTATTGCACACCTCAGCTGTGACTTAGCTAGGACTAGAACTTCTTGTCTCTCCTAACTCTTAGTTTCAGTTTAACCACCTACCAAGGTACAACTGTGGTTCCTGTGTCAACGGAGTTGATGTTACTTATAAAATGGTTCTCATTTAACATTAGCCTGCTAATTCTATATTTGAAATTAACTAATCCCCTCAGGATAAGCCCAAAGGAAATGTAGCTATTTAATATCCTGAAATCTGAAATTGGGGAATTTCCGGAGATTTCATTACTGGTGGGTAATTATATTCTCTGCACAGATTCATAACATCTATATCGTAGCTGGCCCTTTCGACCTCACTTTTATTTTAATCTTGTTTAATTGGAAACTTCTAAAATCTGTAGCTGAATATTTATTCAATTTTTCTTTGCAGATAAATGCCCAAGTTTTGGTCAAATTATAAAAAAACTAAACGCACTCACATACACATACACACATATACAACTTACACAACAAAAGTGACAACAACGTATTGCTGAAAACAGGATACAAGCAAAAATTAGTTTTACTTGAACAAACTCCACAGCAATAACTATGTACCACAGAAGCAGGTAAGTAAATAATCCATTTCCAGTGACATTTTATTTCAAAGACTAGGAAGAATAATCTCTAAAAATAATTTTTCATATGATCTTAAAATGCTTATTTGAAAAGAATTCAGCACTCCTTAAAATATGCGAATAAATTGTAGATTGTCTATAGATAGTAAATCCAAGGCCTGTATTTAATGAATAAAAAGTGCTAACAACAGAAGTCTAAGGGAATTGTGAAATGTTAATGTATTTTTCTTAGAGGTTTTGCTTCATAGCTTCTGAAACCTCCAATATGTAAGGAGTTCAGAAGTAATTTTCCCCTGCTATTCTATCCTTCACTGAATTAATACATTTTATACAGCATAATAAACATTTATCATTCTTCCTTAAGAACACTGACCCCAAAATATTGAGCACGTAGTATGACTCAATTGAAATGTTGATTGGAAATAGGGAAATTAAACTGCCACTGATGAAATACTAAAGCTCATGATCATGAAGTTTCATTTGAAGTGTTCAGAATTAGCTTTATAACTGCATCGGCAATGATAAGCACGGGTCTGAAATCCATGCCATTTAGGTTTTATGAGCATTATTAAAACATATTAACCATAATTCAGTTAATTCACAGAAAATGCCATTCTACAACTTTTTTTTGTCTTGGCTCCCAAGAAAAGGTGCTACTTGAGGAAGCTTAAACTACGTGCCCGTGGCACACATTCTGCTCACCCTAGCCCTCAGCCCACCGCCCACCGCTGTGGGCCTTCACTGCAGGCACGCCTTCCGTTCAGATAGGTAAGTGCGCCCAGGAGGAAATACGCCAAGGTAGTTTACAACCGCACCTTTCCTTCGTTAGGACAATACTGACCTCTAGCGTTCCAGAAGGCAGAGAAACTAGCTCAGCAACGTACCGAAATTCTCTGGCAAGCACTCTTGTAAAGCAACATGGGAATAATTTCACAGAAGAAAGAAAAAGAAAAAGAGGGCAGGAAAGACAAGGAGGCAAGATGGATGAGGTGTGAACAAAACAGGATATCGGACTCTAACGTGCTCCTGTATATTCCCGGAATCAATTTCCAAACTAGTTCTTCTCCCTTTTAACCCTCCTCTAGAACACAAACTTTAATACGGTCTTTACAAGGCATACAAGTAATTGTAGCGTGTGACCCTTCGAAACTTCTGGTCACAGGAACACTGGCTCTGCTCTGGGCCTTTTCCAGCACACGACATTTGTCTAATTATCTTCCTGGGAGGTTCCACTCGGGGAAGAGATGCTCTGGGTGTCTGTGGACCTCAGAGGCTGGCCAATGAGAGAGAAACAAGCCTAAGTAGTAAGCGGCCTTTCTACCTTTCTCAGCAAATGATAGTGCAGATTTTACAAAGAAAGCAATACTGTTCCAAAATGTGTAACATTTCTGAGGTTCATGGCAGAAACAAGCCCAGAGACTGGAGGGACCTTGATAAACCATCTCTGGAAATAACACAGATGGCTTAATTGCATTCTCCCTCATTTAGGAGTTCCCAGAGCTGGGGGTGGGGGTGGAGCGCAACTTCCCTTCATCTGTCTAGAGAGGCAGCTGAGCAATTGAGCTTGAACCTCAGATCGCTCTAGCGACGTATTCAAGTTTGAGAACTGGATCCCTTAAACACACAGTGCAGGTGGCAGATCCCCGGGTGCCCAGCCTGCCTGCCTATTAAATGAAACGTCTGTCCCGCACTTGCTGTGGGCAGAGCCTGGAGGACAAAGTGCACACTTCGTGCATACTCATTACGTGTCGTTTGACACTGAGATTTGGGGGCAGTGTGGGGAGAGCGTCAGTGCTTCTCCTGCGGGAATCGGGCAGCCATTGATCTGGTGGTGGACTGCACTGTCCGTAAGTCTGAGGTGGAAAGTGCCGGTCCTGTCACACCGGTGCCCGCTGGTGACACGACACCCCGACTGAAATCCTCTACCGAGGGCGGCGCAGAAAGCGAGGTTCTGGGGGCGCTGGGCGATGCACCCGACCTGTAAAGGAGCCGCTGTTCCCAGCGCGGCGGCAGGGAGCACCTCGTCCCTGGACGCGGATCCCAGAGCCCAGTGTCACACGGGGACCCTTCCCTGTCGAAGCCCGGAGCGACCAGGCAGCGCGGAGCGTGGAGCTGAGAGGACGAGGGAACTTTGCGAATGCGAGAGGACGACCGGAACCCAGCAGGCCTGGCCCGGAGATCCCCTTAACTTTTGGGGTGGAGACAGCCAGGCACCACCTGACCTGCACCCCCACCCACACACAGCGTCCCCGGCCAGGGCCAGTCTCAGGTGAGTCCGCTTGAGTAGTTGCCCGCCTTTGGGAAAGCCACGGTCTCCCGCTCACCCACCACCCCGCTCCCGGAACTCACAGTTTGTCGCGGTTAATCCGAAATGCCAGAAGCCGGAGAGCAGCAAAGTCCAAACGCTGGGCAGCCTTGGCAGAGAATCCATTTCCCCCGAACGACGGGCCCTTCCAGTAGGGTCCCAGATCGTCCGCCAGCGGCCCGTCCGTCTGCTCCGCCGCCCTCACGCGCACAGCGCGGGCGCTCACTCCATCCC